AAGCCCAATTGGGCTTTTGAGCGCCTGCGCTAAAATAAGCCCTTCCCCAAAAAATAAGCTCTCCTCGAAAATATTACAACACAACAGCAGCCATGAAGTGACCACTCTCATGCCTCCTGCACCTCAAAAATAATAAGATCTCCCTGAAAATAAGGCCAAGCGCTTATTTCGGGGGTCAAAAGAAACATGGTATATCGAAATGACTATCAGAATTGTTGGTTGTGTTAAATCGCACAAATCTTGGCAACTGCCTTCAAGTGGATCTACTCCAAACTAATCTGTGGTGAATTGTGGTGATTTCTGCAGGAAGCTCTCTTTCCCAACAAAGTATGTTTTCCACCAGCAGCAATTAAAGGAGGGGGAGGGAGGGGGCGTATTTGAAGAAAAGTATTTGAAGAAAACGTAGAAAGTAAATAACGTTAGTCCAAGTTAGAAGTTACTAGATTAAAGCACTCATGTCTATGCTTATTGGTTGGATTTGTCTGATTCTCCGCATATGCACCCTGAGAAAAGATGACTAGGCCTTACGTATGCATCAGTCTTTTTATAGATGCTTTTTGAAACTCAGACGAGTTATTGTTTGTTCCAAACACAATTGCTCTGAAATGATCTCCCACTGCAGCCTAATTCAAACTTTTCTAGAAATCAGTCGTATATTTAAAAGCACCACTGCTGCACTATCCATTCCGTTAAGTTTCTGATGCCATGAAAAGTGTGGACTCTACACTTCCTGTCAGTGAAACATGCATGTCATACAATTCCTTTTATGTAGCAATAGCACTTAGACTTATATACCACTTTACAGTGCGTTACAGCCCTCTCTAAGAGGTTTACACAGTCAGCCTAAGCTTCTATTGTGCCTCTTCAGGAATTGGCCGTTGTTTCACTTCAGGTTGCTCCCTTTCACTGTGTGGATGAGTGGTGTTCTCAATTGCTGTTTCTTTTCTCTTTTTGATAATTGGTTATAACTCTGCCCAGCCATAGTGGATTCAGTATGGATCCTAGCAGTTTTCAAATATTTAGAAACTTTTCAAAATAATTTTTGAAAATTATACATAATACAACCCTTAACAATCATACAGTATATTGTCTTTGGGCATTTTATTTCCTCTTGTTGTGGTTTTGTTTGCAATCACATTAAATGGATATACCATATTGAAATGAATGGAAAATTTGAACAGACAAGTGTCAAGAATAATAATATTCGGTTACTAGCAACTTCCCATTACAAGAGAGAGGAAATAACAAAATGCTTCTCTTTTCTAGCACCTCTGCTACTTCTTTTTTAAAGAAAAGATAATATAAGGGGCTCTTTTTGAACACTTAATATTTTCTTTAAAAGCCCCATTAGTCCATAGTCTAAATGTGTTGTTTTCACACTGAAAAACCGAAGTTGTGGTTATGGGAAATGTCAAGCATCCAAATCAATAAGAGTATCACTGCTCAATCTCTAAGTGGCTGTACTTGAAAAAGTTGTATCCGATAATAACAATGCTTTCAAAATTAGAACCAGTCCTGGTTTAATGTGGCACTAGAGTCTGGCTTTCTTAATTTTGAAAAAGATTCTAATTTACTTGAATAAATACATAGCTAATATATTTATACTATTTCCTATAAGTTGTGTTTTCCAGATATGTAACTATAAAATCAAATTGTATGTTGTCTAGATTATTGTAGAAGAATTTACAAATTGATCTAGAATCATGTTTATGGAGAAATTATTTCCTCTTTGTTTTATAGCTCTAATGTTAGAAAAAGTTGTCATTAAATAACAGGTCATAAATTGAGGACTACCTGTAATGTCTGTGTCCTAAGATAGCCCCCCCTCCCCCAAAAGAAGCTATCTGTTTATTCTAAAATTTTAACTTAACCAGGTTCGTAGAGAGTACAGGAAATTTTTCCGAGCCAACGCTGGAAGGAAAATTTATGAATTTATACTTCAAAAAATTGTAAGTATTTTGCTTGTATAACACTACTACGGTTGTAGGAAGATTTTACTTTTACAGTATGAACAAAAAGAAAATAAAGATGAAATGGCACTGTTTTATAATACATAGAAAATGAGAGTGAAGTACCAGAATTGTCTTTGCCACAGACAAAAGGTACTCTTCTGTAAAATTAAAAAATTATCATAACTTTCATTTTTAACATCTCTACCTCTTAGGGTTTTTAAATAATATTGTCCTTCTTTTATTTTTGCATTTGCTGCTTAAAGTGACATCCCTCGGTCTGCAAGGAAATCAAATCCCCTGAAGCTTTCTTAACCGAAATCCAGCAAATAGTCTCCAATTTAGTTAATTTTCTGTAAGGCCTGGACATGAAAATGATAGCTCGAATTGCCAAAAATGAGTACTTTTCTCCCCTGATATAAATAATTATTTCCATTCTTTCAGCAGAATATTTATACCAGGAAACTGGTACAAGTAAAAACTTAGAATTGTTCTAGAATTCCCGTATGTATTAGCACAACACTTCTCTTCCATATCTTTATTCCAGCTTCTGCAAGAGCCTGAGTTTGTTTTTTTTAATTGATCAAGTTTTAAAACTGTCCATCTCCCTCACAGGACATTAAAAAACAGTATATAAAATTTAAGAGGCAGGAAATGTTAAAAATTAAAAGGCAAAAGGAGGGCTTTCAGGGAGCTAATCAGCCCCATGACCACATGGGCCTATGTGAGCCTTAGCCAAGATTGCAGAGCCATGCTTTCATGCCTTTCTGGAAGGCCAGGAGAGCAGGGGCTCACCTCGTCTCGAGGAGGAGGGGGGGAGAGAATGTTCCAAGGGCCGGGATCAACACCAGGGAAGATTCTCTTTCTGGACCCCACCAATCGGAATACTTTGGCTAAGAGGATCTGCAACATATCCCTTCCTTACCCGACCAGGTAGAATGGGCTGAATTATGGGATGAGGATGGTTCCATAGGTAATCTGACCCAGGCTATGCAGGGCTTTAAAGATACCATTCCATTAAGAGAGGTTTTAAACCTTACAAATAAATAAATGTGTAATGATTAAAATGAAGACTTTTTCGAGGGGGAAAATGTTTTTTTTTTTCCTATTTTTCTAACCTAGATTCAGAAATACTT